CTTCTCACAAACTGAACTCACCAGCAGTACTGGGAAATATTGGCCCAAAGATGTAGCAGTTCAGACCAAGGGTTAATATTCCATGATACAGCTTGAGCAAATGAGATTGGTAAGTGGTTTGTTATATGGCACTCAGACTAAACAATGTTTATTTAGAATTTGCTGGGGGCTTTCATGACCAAAAATACATTTTGTCGAATAATTATTTAACATGTTTATTCGATGACTCGTATTCACTGTCCTTAATCAGAAAGCACATGAGTAATTAATTTAAAAGCCTCGTGATCAACAGTCAATCATAAACGTCTTTTGAACTCTGTACAAACAAAACAGAAAACAAAACCCTATGGGAGCTAATAAGTTTCACGACACACTCCCCCGGTTTGGGTTACATTCGTAAACAAACATAGAAAAATTTGAATGCAATTCTGTATTAAGTACGAAATCTGCGCATGAGTTCACCCCTCATTGCAGCATTGCGACGTGGTGTAGTGTTCGCAGAAGTGTTCGGAGTATCATGAACAGGAGAACCGCTCGTCGGTTCGGCTCCGTACTCTTCAATTTGATTAATGTCATCACTGCTGTTGATTTCAAGTGGAAACAAATGTTTGACACTTCGTTTTAACAGACAAGGAATACAATCTGCACTTGAGAATTTGATAATAGCAGCTCGGATGTTACCATCCTTTCCCGGCAAAAGTTCTTCCACTTTAGCTAATTTCCAGAACATTCTGTTTGATGTATCGTTCTTGAGAATGACTACATCTCCGATGACTATGTCAGCTCCCTTTCGATTCTTTGTGACTTGTGCGTGTCTCTCTCGAAGATTCAACAGATAGATTTTTCTCCATTGGTCAGTAAATTGGCGAAGAAGGTGGCGATGATGTCTTGCTCTTCGTGTAAGCGATTCGTAGGTGCTGATGACCTCAAAATGACTATCGTTCGCAGTATTGGTTACTTGTCGCCCATTGATTAGGTACGAAGGGGAAAGTGTGTAACTCATGCCATCTTGATCGTCCTCTACGTAGGTCAGAGGTCTTGAGTTAACGACCCATTCGATCTCGACAAGCAAGGTGTTTAACTCATCGTAGCTTAAGGTGGTTCTGCCAAGGGACTTTTTCATACAACAACTGATGCTCTGGATTAATCTCTCCCAGAAGCCTCCCCACCAAAGGGCCTTCTCAATAATAAATCTCCAGCTGACACCACTGATGGCTAAGTAACGCAAGACTTCTTTCGACCGTGCAATCTTGACAATTTCCTTTCCAGATCCTCGGAATGTTTTTCCATTATCGGACATTAGAGTTGCAGGCAGTCCCTGATGACTTGTAAAGCAGCGAAACGCTAACAGGAAAGACTCAACAATGAGATTTGGCGTAAGTTCAAGGTGTGCAGGACTCGTTGAAGCGCATGAAAATAAACAAATATAGCACTTACTGTTGTCGTTTTCAGTAGTTGAATTACCACGTATGAAAAGAGGACCCATAAAGTCTACTCCAGTAAGAGTAAATGGTGGATCTTCAGAGACGTGAACGCTTGGTAAACCACGACAGCTACGGCAACGAGAACGTGGAAAAACAATAGATCTAATTGGCAGAACAATAGCCCTGCACGTGCGTTTGAAAACTTTGTACATTTCTTAGCCGTCCTTTGCAAAACAACAACAAGAAATCACCAAAATCTGTGTCGTCTGCCAAGCGAAACCGCGGAGGCAAATTATTTTAATTTACATTTGGAACTCAACGCT